TTTGTAGTCAATTATGTAAATACAAAGAGTTACTTAAGTATAGTTTAGCATATAATGTTAATATTGCTAATTAAACGAAAATATAGTGCGAAGTAAATATCCTTTTTAGAAGTCTGTACAATGTGCAAATAATCGTTGATAATTATGTTGACATAAAACGAAGTAACTGAGAATGAAAAAATAGCAATGAAACCTTTAGAAGTATTACTTAATCGTAAAAACGGGACAAGCTTAATATTTATTTTGAACGTACAAAAGAGACCTGTTTTTAAACAAGACTTCCAATATCAACGTACATAAATAGTTCCAAAGATCAGTGGTACAATTACAACATTCATACATTTGCATAGTTATAATATATCATGTACATTATTATACTTAATCAACTATAGACAAAGTTTGCATATACAATGTATATCTACATTATGATGAAATGTATGTTGTTATTTACTACTCTGTTTACGACAGTGTACACTAGAACGACCTGAACCTGTGAATTTAGATAGCTGATTTATTGTATGTAAATAACTTAATTTATTCGTAATGTACTGTAAACATTTGATAGTTGCACTAACATGTAGGAGAGTTACATGTAAGAGTTTTTCTAGTGAATGTTTTTTTTCAATCGCAAATAATAGTCTGTGATATAATCTAGCAGAATGTACACAGCCTAAAAAATGTTAGGCAAATAAAAAAAAGTGTGTCGGTTCTGTAGACCATTTAGGAATGCTTTGAACAAGAATATTTGAAGCAAAACAGTTTTGAAATGGTTTTCTCCATTTAGCTGAATTTATTACTCAGATTTCATAACCGATTATATCCATTCCGTGTATATTAGCTTACTTTAAACATTTTTAACAATCCATAAAATACTTATTTATTGATGCAGTATTATAAATCATTGAAGAGATACGAAACTATATATTTTGTTGTTCGTTTTTCCTAATGAGGCAATGTATGGTCCAATTAAAAGTTTTGAGTATTCAAAACGTTGTAACATGTAATATTATGTGTATTTTTACAATAGGACAATTATAAACAATCCTGATAAACAACGCACGAAAATGTTTATAGCCTATAGAGGCTTAACTTGCCTTATATACATAATAGCAGTTACATTTTCGAAAACATATATAAATATGTACATGTGATACAGCAAGTAAAATAGCACTTGTAGAAAAAATATTAAAATAAAATACTATGAACTGTACTGTATATATTTTTATCCTTTCTGAAGAAATTAAATCTTTATGTTATTAAAGTTTATAAAATTACAGCGACTATTTTGTAATTTTCAATTTCATAATATTCGGTAAAATTAAAATTTAAGCTTTTGATATTCGATTTGCGATAGATCGATTATCGTCACGTATCGTCACATGTATCGACTGACCACGCTATATGTACATATGTCTTATTTTGAAACTCATAACCATTGATAACTACTTTCCTCATGGTAGTTAGTATGAGCATTAAATCAATGATAATGAACATTAATAATAAGGTATTCACCCTCTGTGTTCAGATAACGTTGACGTAATTATTTATTCTTAAATCATTTGTTGATATTCTTTCAATCAAGCAAAGGAAATGGAATGTTTTTGGTCCGATCCAAGCAAACATCCGCAATGTTCACATGGTAACTTTATTCTAACTTTCTTGTTTTTGTAAAATAAATATTTAAGTTACGTAATACTATTTCTTGTACAGGGCCGACTTTATTATTTGGCACATATGAAAATGGTACGTTGGAGAAATTCTATGTATGTGCAGCTTGTCGTGAAAGAAAGCTGTGTAAATTTCGCTTAAGCGAAGAGGAGCAATTAACAAAACAACAGTTAGTTAAATGGGAAAAAGATCGGAAAGCATTTGCCTCCCGTTATCGTCATAGATCATTGTATTTATTGTTCCATGAAATAATTGCACTGCCACCAGAAAAAAGAAATTATTGTCATACTTGCGACAAACTGTTTCATTATAGCCATGAAGATGACAAACACAAAAATCATGACATAAAAAGAGGTATTACTGATCATGAAATGAAATATCCAACAGAATTTTTAAAGCCCTTGGAAAATTCGAAACAGGAAGCTCAATATTTCTTTTCGAAGAAATCTACAGAGGACATAGTAAATATGCTCGTGAACCTTGGTGCAAAACAAGTTCTTTGCATTGGTACACCAAAAATACACGAATATATTTTAGATAAATATGAAGATAAAATGTCTTCCCTCTTATTGGATTTTGATGGAAGATTTGTAAGTTTATTGAATTTCACAAGATAATAGAGGATGTCCTAACTAAATGGAATTACCTAAATATCTACCTCATTCTATCTCATTTAAGGACAATGATAAATAAGGCAGATATTTAGGTGACACTTGGTTGACCTACTCTTTTTATGAAGAAGACTAAAAAAACTAAATTTATATTTTGTTACATTGCAGCACAATTTTTTTGGACCATTAAGTTATTGTTGGTACAATCTACTAAACAATCATTTCTTCAATGAAAGCTCTGTTCAGGTGTTTAAAGATTTTATTATGCAAAATGAAGGCAAAGACACATACTTGATATGTGATCCACCATTTGGTAGCAGAGTAGAAGCAATGTCATGGACTATAAAAAGGCTTTCTGATCTCCACAAAAAGTGGAATAATGTAGAAAACAAAGAGGATTATTTGAAAATCATTTTTATATTTCCATATTTTATGGAATCTCTAATGAAACAGAAAAGTAACCCACCTGGAACAGCTGGAGGTTTGAAGGATTTGAAGCTAACAGATTACAAAGTATGTTATGAAAATCATTCTCTATTTGTGAGAAATCCCAAGAATAAGAAGCTTCCTTCGCCCATTAGAATTTTCACGAATATACCGCTGCATTTGTTTCAACTACCTAAGTTAGATGGTTACAAGTATTGCAAGAAATGCCAAAGATGGGTTTCTGAAGAGAATAAACACTGTAAGAAGTGTAAAGACTGTACCTCAAAGAATGGTTCCACGTATATACATTGTAATGTTTGTGAGAGATGTGTGAAACCTTATTGGAAACATTGTGAAACTTGTAAAAGATGTATTGTTGTTCAACATGTGTGTGGTCAGAAACCACAAATGCATGGAAAATGCTTTAAGTGTCATGAACTTGGTATGTATTATGTTTGTTATGTATGTGGAGTAAGGCATACAAACTTAGATAGCTAACTCTATTCTTTATATAGGACATACGGAGAAAGAATGCAATGTTATTGATGAGACCCCAGACATAGCATCAAATAAAAAATGTAAAAAACGGAAGACTAGTGATAATAGAGAGTTTGAAAGAAACGTAAAAAGGAAAAAGGCCAATGATATACTCAAACTAAAAAAAAAGATGCAGAAAAAACAATTGATAAGTAAAAAGAAGAAAGAAGGAACAAAATAAAAAAAGAATGGTGTAATTAAAATCAAAAATTTGAAAAAATCTATACTAACTGTAAATAATACTTCAAATTTGTAAAAAAATTAATATTGAAGGAAAATATGAATTTATAATAAAATTATATTTAAGTTTTTTTTTTATAACAGTGGAATTTAGATGAGAACCGCTATCTTAAAATATAAGAATAGCACCGTTATACATAATGATAAAATGCTTAAACTAGTAGACAGATTTACCGACAGAGTAAACACATTTTGGGACACACACAATGGTGTCATCTAATGTTGTAAAAAATATTTGCAGTTGGTAATTTTGCCTAACAGTTTGAGCGTTTGCCACTACATGTAATGGCGATATTTTTATATATTCAGCAGCAGATGGTTTGTGCCATCGTTAATAATAATATTTACAATAATAAATAAATTTTGTTTACATGATATAGATTTAAGAGAGTTTCTTAAACATTTCTATATCCTCAAAGTACTTCTTAAACACTTGAATTGTCAGATTTCATACTGTTTTCCATACACGTATTCCCTTCAAGTGAATGCAGAAAATTTCTGTAGCTTTAAAATATTCTTCGAACTCCTCAATACCATATTACCAAAAAGAAAAAAGATATGTTTCATGCGGGTCATTCATATGATTTGTAAAACTTTGATGGCTGTTTGAAACATGGCGGCCCCTTGGTCGCGTTTATCTAGGATTGTTTTTAAGAAAAATCAATTACAGTACAAACAAGTTTTAATTTTTCCGTTTGCAGATCGGTTTTCTCGATATAAGTATTTTTCTACGAATCGTCAAAACGGTCCCACTTGCAATGATATTGTTAAACATGTGTTAACCTACACTGCCCTTTTTTCTGGGCTCAGTTATATTTTATACAAATGGAAGAACGATTTTATGCCAACGGTGAATGCAAAATCAATTAATCTGGTAGATATTAATCACAACAGAGACAAATATAATTTTATAGCTGATGTGGTAGAGATCTCAGCTCCTTCCGTTGTTTACATTGAAATCAAGGACAATAAAAGGTAGATATAAATTGTTTACGAAAAGTTGAATAATTATTGTCCCATACAATTATTAATCAGGAAATAGGTTTGATTATTTTACAGGTAAACCAATTAGTGTTAGCAATGGATCTGGTTTCATTGTTCAATCCAATGGTCTTATCTTAACAAATGCCCATGTGGTTGTTAATAAACCAAACACAGTTGTTAAGGTAATTATTATGTTATCACGTATATCTTTATTTACTTGACTTATGTCAAATAACTTAAGAAACATTTTTTCAGAAGTTTTCATAGAATCTATTTCATAGGTACGCCTTCACGATGGGAACATCTATACTGGCATTGTGGAAGACGTTGATATGCACAGTGATCTTGCCACTGTGAGAATTAGCAAGGTTCAGATACATGTTGTAAACTGTAATACATGAATTCTGATGTTTACATATTATCATAACAATTATTTCTTGTACAGACTAATCTACCAGTAATGAAACTTGGTAACTCATCTACTATCCGACCAGGCGAATTTGTGGTTGCTATTGGATCTCCACTTGCTTTAAGCAATACGATAACTAGTGGAGTTATAAGCAGTGTAAACAGACCAAGCGAAGAGCTTGGTCTTTACAATAAACAGATGCGTTACATTCAAACAGATGCTGCAATTACTGTTAGGATTTTTTCATTGTATGACACTGTTGAATCATAATTCACCTCTTCATTAAATATCATAACTTTTCAGTTTGGCAATTCCGGTGGACCGCTGGTCAATTTGAATGGCGAAGCGATTGGTATAAATGCAATGAGAGTAACAGCTGGAATTTCCTTTGCGATTCCTATTGATTATGCCAGAGATTTCTTAAAGGAGGTAGAAATGCGTAGAAAGAACAGAGGTAAAACGCTATAATAATTGTATTTAACACAGGAACAATTAACACAGCTTACGGTATATTATTAGGCGCTCAAAATATTGTGGACACACCCAAGAACCGGTACCTGGGAGTTACTATGCTCTCCTTAACGCCTAATTTACTCTTCGATCTGCAACAGAGACTCGAAGGAATTCCCCATAGCATTAAACACGGTGTTCTAATTTGCAAGGTGTTCGTTGGATCGCCAGCTCATGTGTACGTATCCGAGAATCAAAGTATTACAAGGTATTGCAGTAAACCGAACACTGGACATAAATCATCTCTTATAAATTTCAGAGGAGGTCTACAACCCGGCGACATCATAACACACGTGAACGATGAGGCCGTGATAAGTACCGTGAACATTTATAAATCTATAGAAGCTTCAAAAATTCTAAAACTGACTATTGTCCGACAAATGCAGGTCTTACATTTAATGATTGAACCCGAGGATACATGAGATGATAATGTATCGTTAATACAGAACGTTGAACTTTGAAATGCATAATTCTTTGTACCTATACCTAGCGCAATCTATTAAGGACTTAATAGTTGCAGTAGATATCTACTCCTATTTTTACAAATAAGTTCCAAGAATATCAGCCGGCCTTTGTACAATAAATTTGCTTGATTTTAACGATAGAGAGCTCTCGATTAGGCTCCGCGAAGTATCGGAATGCTCGCGGACGGTAGGGTGCTCGTCGCAAAAATGATCGCAGCCGAGTATACATCGGGTGTGGTCCACGGGGCTGGTCGGGCTGCATTATGTTTATGTTGTTTACGACGCGAGGCGACCTCCGCAAATATGTGGCCGGATCTCGGTGAGCGTGGGTGTGGTCCCGAGATTTTTCCGAAATGATTTTACTGTCCGCAGACGCGTGCATCTTGTTGGAATTCTAACAGGCCGTCCCGTCGGGATGTAATGCCGCCACATCGTTCCTCCCCGGGATCCATGGAACAAGATCCACGAATCGGCCTTGCGAGCCTTTCTTCCCGCACTTAAGAGCTCGGCCACCGATAATTTTCCGGGTGTTTGTGGCCACCGTGAGACTATAAATCGCAATTAACACCGGTTGATAATTGCCGATAGTTCTCGTTGAACGAGCAAATGAACTCTTATCTAGAGGACGCGAAAAAAATCTTTGCTTGCGTTATTAATTGGCACCTGTAGAGTTCAGACAAAATAATGGAGCCATTATGAAACCTCTTTCATCGTGAACTCTTTCCATTTGTTCGAAGAGCCGGTTTAGAACGCTGGAATGACTTTTGCGATTCTTTTCGAAGAAATCATGAAGCGGTTCTTGTTAGAGAATGGATACTAATTATTTCTTTAAACAATGCGTCGTAGAAATGGATATATGTATACAAATTTATGTATGGCCTTATCTATAGTTAGTCTGATAAAGGTTCATAACTGGCTGTGTCAATTATTTTCTGTAACTGCCGCGGACTCTTAAACTCCGCAGACCGTTCAACAAAAGCAAAAGAAGACAAGATGAAAATAACGGTAGTCTTCGATTAATTTTCTAGAGAGGTGTTGCCTTGTACACGTTCTTGCCCGTGGTGCTCAATCGACCATCAATCGGCTTCTTCTCGGATGGTTTTTCGTCCGAGTATAATCGGGAGCAAGTTCGACCGTTATTTCTCCGATTGTCCACGCTTTTGTAATATCGTACAGTCGCCCACGAGCAGAGATCGTTGCCGCTTCTTACGAGAGTGTCCGACGATTCTCGGTAGCTGGAGAACAAATGGCCATCAAGGTGATCGGAGCCTGATATCTAGGAATGGAATGAGACAGTCCAGGATCGCTCGGTCGCCTACACGTACTTACATGTCGGACGATGACCAGGAGCGAGGAATCGCCTTAAAGGACCAGATCGCTGGGGAGGACGTGGCCTGTCCTTTAATAGATCCAGGAGAACTCGACCTGGCAACGATCTAGAAACGCTCTGCTTGGTTACCCGAATCGATTCTGCGCTATTAGATTTAGATTCTAGAATATGGGTGACGAGGTCTAATCGACATAGTCTATGGATTCGAGCTACGATAAAGTCTGGGTCCATTTTCACCCGGCGCAACAACGGCAAATACCAACATAATTTAGGCGAGAAAATACACCTAAGGCTGCGGCTACAGCGGATGCGTCTGCTGACGTAATCATTGGCGACTTTCAGCATTCTCTTCGCAACGTCGCCATCGTGAAATATGAGGGGTCCGGGGATCTAAAAGGTTCTCGTGAAAACTACAGCGCGAATAGCATCGCGATGGCCAGCGTCTGGCCATGTCCTAGCCGACAATGACAAATAATTCCCGGTGGAAACGCGACGCGATTAAAGCTCGCAACCCGGCCCCCCCCCCCCCCGCGCTCGACACACGGGACAATCACTTTTGTTTCATCATTTTTCCTCGGCTGGTTCCCTGAGTCCGGGTCACCGTGACCTTGACGCCCGCCGCGGCCGATTTCATTGTGGGCAAGGGTGGATTCCTGGGTGTCTGCGGTTCGGTCGCCGGAAAAAACGTCGCGGGAAAAAGGCCGGAGGCAGGCGAACAATTTCGCCTGTGTTGCACGGGACGCCGGCGATCAAGGTCGGTCGAACACTATAGTCGGGAAACGCAATCACGACTCCCATTGTGTGTCGGGCTCGATCAATCGTCCGAAGAAAGGAGCTGCCGATGTTGTCGCCTTGGCGGCGCGGACGCCCGGGCCCACGGGAAACCGAACAGACTCAACGACCGTGTTAACGACGCCCGCCGTTTCACCGGCTTAATTATACCGCACGCACGCAGAAGCTATCGTTTATGAACAGTGGCGCAAGAAGTTTATGCGCGACGCGGATACCGAGCCGATGCTCGAGGGCTCTGTCTACCTTGACGCTCGTAAGCCGATCTTTTCGAATTTTTTCTGAACACGTTACGCGGCATTAGAATTTCAAACTCGGCGCGACTCTTAACCGACGTCCGTGGAATGCGCTTAGATTTTTTCGGATCTGGACTAATGATTTTCTTCGGTGTTAGGCTAACAAGTAGGAGGGCTTTTTCAGAGGTCTCGTTGTCGTCACGATCGTACGGCAGCTTGTGACATTTTTGAAAAGAGACGCACTGAAACTTGGTAGACATATTGATTAACATTCGGAGAGTGTACAGAAATTTTTCTAAGGAAGAACAACGATTTCCTTCGGAGTTACAATAAACATTACCGACATTTCGATTACGCGTCGGTTCGTGGAGATTTAGCGACGAAAAGTATTGTGTATTGAAATTTCGAAATTTCCACAGTTGTTAGCTAACGTTCGCAGAATACTATCCATATCTTTTGGAGCAGTGATAATGATAATAAACGGTAGTAATAATAATTTGCGTCGGAACTACGTCGATAAACGTAACACCAGCACAAATGGAAAACACTGGAAAAAAAATAACTACAGCTAATTCATAGACTGGAGAGATCTTTCTGCTCGGCGTAGATCAACGAGTTTACTCCGAGATCTGGGGCCTGAGAAGACCAACATGCGGCCCTGATCGCCCTTTTTTCCCGCGGCTGTAAATTTTCCCGGTTTTATGTACTGGCCGGCAAAGTTCTTGCCACCGTCTATAACAGCCGCGTAATGGTAGCCCTCTATGGAGATTACTCTGTGTAAATTCGTCGGAATTGCCGCGCGATGTTCGACAGGAAGATCACGGATCCTATCCTCGCTCTCGAGGCTTCCAGCATCGTTCTGCGGAGCGTCTGTTCCGCGAGCCGGTCGTTGTAGCAAAAGTAAATGAGAAAAACCGAACCGGACGAAGAAACGGTCGAGGGATCTGGCGAACGGCGCGACGCGAAGGGCGTGGCAAAGACGATTCTCACCTGGATCCGGATCCCGGATCGAGGGATCCCGTCCCCGAGTATTCGGTGAACGGATCCGCCGCTTGTCCTTCGACGGTTCCTCCGGTTCCTGGTTCGAAGACACCGTCCGAGCGCGGCTCGCTCGTCCCCTCCGCCTTGTATATAAGTCAAAACCAGATCGGAAGCAAGGTGCACAAACAGAACAGTCCTTCGGTGAGCAAGGAGGTTCTCGGGAACACACGTATCACAAGTGACAAGATGCAGGCACTGGTGAGTACTCGACAACGCAGTAACCTCTCTCTCTTTGAGAGCTTCGCAGAAACTCTCTGCTTCTACCCTCCGGTGGGATTCCAGGTACTCGGGTGCCTGGCATCGACATTTCTTTGAAATTCTGTATACACGTTCTTGCCGCCAAAAAAATTTGTCAAAAATTGTCACAGACTCCTAGTTTCATGGTTAATCGTACAGTAATTTATGTTTGAGACTGCGAAGTCTACGGACTACAGAACGGTACTGGAAAGACGCGGACAGTTTTAGACGTTGACGCCAAGGTTAATACGGTTAACGTTCATCCTCACCGAATTTGTATACTGAGGTCGACTCTAAGATAAAAGCTCGTTTCTGTCTTGAAACGTTTTCAAGCATCGTTGCACGTTGCTTTAGATTTGCATTTTCAATTGACTTTCTATTCACGCGTTATCAGACGTTTACAGACATTTGCATTCATTGCAACTGTAACTTTACAGGCAATCATTCAAATACGTTCTAACGTTGTTTTAAGCAAGGAAGAGATCCAAAGTGATACGTAAAGACTGTTAAACAGTAAATGTTTTCCATGAAAACCGAGTCACCGAGTAGAGAATTTAGAACCCGTGAACGCACAGAGCGCCATCGATGCGCGCGGCAACATTTCAAGACGACGGTGCCTGTCAGCCACGCATTGAAGTTACCGAGTGCGGCACACGTTAATTGGTCCTCTTATTCGAAAGACCACGATTTTTAGCACACCAAAGCGGTCGCGCGAGTTTCATTCGCTTCGCGTTTAATCGGTCGTGCCCTACTTTTCATCCCTTATTCTTGGTCTACGAGATTCTTGCCCAGATTCCGCGTACGCATACTTTTGCAAATACATCCATCTGACGTAACTATTCGATCGTGCCGTCATTTTTCGAAGAAGCAGGCCATCCTATTATCCACCGTATTACCCTATGCATCGAGTGTCGGTTCGTTCCAGCGGAAAGAACGCAGCGCGACGTTCCGCAAAATCACGGCCGCGATAACAGGGCTCGGAACTATTCGGCACGATGAAATTCAGATCAACCGAAATCACAGAAACAAAATCTAAATCGTTCTTTTGGCCTTCAGGGGGAGGGTCGGACGGCCCTTCGCACTCTGTTTTCCGCTCGCCACCTCTGTAGCTGCTCGTTCGTCTCTTATTGGATCGTAAAGAGAGCTGCTGGATCTCCGTGGCTCATGCAAGTATAAACTTACCCCCCTCTCGCGTGCCGAGAGCAAGAGAATACACGGCGCGGCGGGAGTAAAATTCGAACGAATCCGTCGGCAATGCAACCTCGTCGAGGGCTTCGGCGAACCTCGAGAGGATTCCGAAGTCACGAGCGTGCTTTCCCGTCGTTTCGTTCAATGATCGTTCTGGGAACCGAGTATCCCGCGACGATTCATTTCGGGCTCGGCGATCCGGGGAATCGTTTCTCTTATGCGGACACACTCGGATCGATCGGGAACGGCCGATTTTCAAGTTCCCCGACGGCTTGTACTCACGCAGACGTTCCTCTTTTTTTCCGCGAGGCAAAGGCTTAGCTGGCACGCCGTGCGGTGGAAACTGTGGTCTGCTTTTTGAAATAAGATATCCGCGATCGTAATCGCTGTCTGTATCGTACGCCCGAAGTAATAGGAGTGGGATGGTCAGCTAGCGCGGCTTCAGGTATCTATACTTTCAGAAATAGTTCACGGTTTTATCGAACCACCGTTCTATCTGTATCTGGCAATCTGTTAATCACCTTAAAGGTAGAATGTGTATAGATACCGTATTCATGCATCTCCCATGGCTCGAAAACGTGGAATAAAACAACGAAGTCGGAATAGAGTTGATTCAGGTCCTGTCAATTAAGATTACCCATTGCACATCAGCATTTGAAACCAAAAAGATCAGCGTTGAGAAGGCTCGCAATTAAAGACGAACGATTTCCTCTTATGTACATCTTTAACACTTTGACTGCCATGTCATGGTCACATATGGGTGACACAATTTTTTTTTAATACACTTGGAACTCGATTTTTAGTACGGTCTATTAAGTAAATCAAAATTGGTTTTAATCGAATTTACACAAGTAAATTCTATGATAAATCTTGTCCTCTCTGTTCTTACATTATGGAATAAGCCGATCCAATTTCGCGCGACTTTCATAGATTAATCCTGCAGCAGTCGACGTGTCCAGACGACTGTATATTAAAAATCAGTTTCACTGAGAAATCATGCTCTGCTCGCGTATAAACAAGACGCGCTGCAGAGAATATCAGAAGTATGACAAAAAAAATGTCGTTGACCGTTGTCCACGGTTTCTGACAAGTTCGCCGGTGTGCGGCGCCCGGGGCAAGTATCCCGGTGCCAAAGACTCCGTTCAGCTTGGCCCACTGTTTGCCCAGAGTTGCCGACACAGTCCTCGGATGAAAAGACCGCGATGTTCTCTGTGCAGATTCCGTTGATCGCAGGCTTGAGCCTGGTCTCTGGCGCGCAGTTCAATCTGCTACCGTACGCGTACCTGTCGAGCCCGCTTCCGGTTTACAATCAGTACCAGAACACGAGGACAGGCGAGCACGCTTACAGTTACGCTGGCGGGCCGTCTGCGAAGGAGGAGATCAAAGGGGCCGACGGGGTCGTCCGCGGCTCTTACAGCTACGTGGACGCGAACGGTATCCTGCAATCGGTGTTCTACGTGGCGGACAACTACGGTTTCCGCGTGGCCGCGACGGATCTGCCCTCGGACGACAACTTGAGCCTGGAGCCCGAGGCTACCCACGTGCTGCTGGCGCGAAGCGTGAAACCTGACGAACAACAGAAGACCGAGGAACAAGAGAAACCGAGCCGCAGGAAGCGCAGCCTGGACCTGGCCAACGAGAACCAGAGCGAGCAGACCGAGAACGCTGCGGGCGTGAAGTTGCTCTTGTCGGAACCAGCTGTTGGGGTACCGCTGTCGACGTCTCATCAGAGCCAGGTGATTTTGTGTTCTTTTACGTTGAACCTATCGAGCGCTAAAAATGACCGGCGTCTACCGTTTTATAAGAACGATATCGCCGATTTTTCCTAGACTCTGTGCCAGTTTTGTTATAATTTTCTGCTCGAATTAAGGAATTTATTCAATCGATTCCAACGAAAACGTCTGCATAATTTCAACGATTTTAAAATGAAAAACTGACAATATCTGGTATTTGAGTGCATCTCGGGCAAACGTGTTAAAACTTCCACCAGTACGTGGAATCGCGGGTTCGTCATTGTCCTACGTTTGTAAGTTATACTAACGTTTCTTTGATATTCGATGTTCGCGTGCATTTTTGATTCAAACGTCTTCAAATCTTCCGAAAACCAGTGGAATCAAAGGTTTATCTTTCTCTGCGCTACGTTGTTATATTATACTAAGGTGTCCTAATGTCTGAAGTTCGAGACCATTTGATTGAAACGTGTCAGAAGTTCGACAAACGTTCTAACTGAACCATCAATCCTGTCATCGGTACATTATTGACGACATTTCGGTACTGTCAGTATAATCCTTATATACTTCTCTTCCTTGGTTTCCTTATTGACGGTGCTAAATCAACGTCCACACAAGCTATTTTCTTCCCCAGCCTCGTTGAACGAACCGGCGACATTGTCGACGGCTATTGACGACACTAACAACCTGTACCGTCAAGCATGTTGACGTCGAGAGCCTCGAGCTTTAGCGAATCCGAAGAATTATCCCTTAGAATTATCCCTTAGAATTTACCCTTAGAATTATCGATTACAATGAATCATGTTTCCGTCTTCGCTTAAGACCTTTAATACGTTCTCCTCTGCCGAAATAGCAAAGGACAGAACTTGTCAAGCTCGTTAAGGACACCCTTAGAATTAACGAACATGCTGCCGATGAACAGCGCTATCGCCTTCGCCTAAGATCCTCGCCGTGTCTTCCTGCGAGCCAGCTAACAAAGGGCTTGTTAACAGGTGCAGATCAACAAAGACATCAAGATCCAGCCGGGTCTGGTCCCGCAGGCCCAGCTGAGGCTGGAGCCGTTGATCCTGCAGAGCGAGATTCCTCTGGCGACCTCGCAGCAGAGTCAAGTTCAAGTGCAGAACAGCGCGAGCGTGAAGCTGTCAGGTGCCGAGGACGCCGGCAAGGACAAGCCAATCGATTTTCTGCGCCTGCCGGTGATCCTGCAGGCCCCGACCCGGTTCGATAGCCTGCCGGTGCTGACCACTTTGCCCTCTTATCACGAGAACCGCATCGAGCTTCACAAGCAGCTCGGCATCGAGGGAGCAAAGCTGAAGGACGCGGTTAAGATCAGCCAGGAGCCGATCGCGCTCGTTCAATCGCCTTCCGTGTCGGTCCCAGTGCTGACCAAGCAGGCTGTCCCGGTTCTGCCGATCGCCGGGGAGACCCTTCTGCCAGCCACGTCCACCGTGACGACGTCCATCTCGAGTCATGGTGTCAGCCAGACTCATCCTTCCACGAAGATCTACCAGCCTTTAGCCGTCCCCACCGTGCCTCTGTTAGAACAGAAGACGGTTCCAGTGGTCCCACTTCTCAAAGAGGCTGTCCCAGCTACGAAACTAGCTACCGCCACCGTCACCGCGTCTGTTAGCAGTCACGGGGTCACTCAGATCCACGGGGACTCGAAGGTGAACGTCGCGCCAACACTGTTGCTCAAGACCGCGCCTCTAGCGCAGCTCCATCCCGCCGTCGATCTACCTGTCTACCTTTATTAAGCACTCGATCCGGCTCCGTTCAGAGCTGGAGGACACAAAATGGCAGCGTACATTTGGGAAACGAGACGATACACGAGAGACGAGTGCAGCAGAGATCGGACCGCGTCGCGACCTTTCGCCGGACAGGCTAGAAAAGGGATCCGCGTTCCCCGGCCGAGAGCCGACCGTAACGATGATTCCTTTTCATGGTGTTATCCTCTTTGGGATCGGTCGCCTGCATTTGCGAACGGACGGCGAGACTGTCGCCGGATGATTGATCGAGGATAGATTCGTCCGGCGGATAGCTCTCACCCTCCTTTCGGGAACGTCATTTCTTTCTTCATCGCCTCCTCATTTTCAGCATCCGGAATCGCTTGATCGACACTCTGTTAAATTATTGTTCATGATTCACTTGAAAATAAAATGACTTGTGTGTGTGAGCCATGCGTTGAATCCTTTGAAACCTACAGGCGAAACGGAACTTCTCATTGGTCGAATATGTACTTTGTCGATACAGATTGCTACCTCGAGATGAACGTAACGCTTGCCAATCTAGAATTAGGGATACGGTGGATAGACCTTTTTGTTGCTAAACTACTTTGGAAACAAACGCGACTGTTTCTAATCGGGAAATAAGAAGTAAACCGTGTATAATTTTTTAGCATTCCTGCGTGCATATATCCAGCATAACAAAGTTCCTTGTTTTTGTTTCATTTTGGCAAAATGCAGGATCGTGCGAAAAACTCCTAGCTCGACAATTTTGATTCCTTTGGACAAATTCCGTCAATTTCATGACATTTTCGACATCGCTGTGTTGTCGAGAAGATAATTAAATACATCCTTGCGAGGCAATATTTTGTTAATTGATGCACCGAACGTCAGCTGCGTGAGCCTAATTCAACGACAGATATTTTACGGTCGATCAGGGATCGATGGATCTCGCGGAACGCTCGATCCCATCTCTAGATAAAACGAACGCGTCGCGTGAACATGCCCGCTGCCATGCTCCGATTTAATGAGAATTTTGATCACCGTGCAAAACCACCACGGCGACGAGCTGTTAGCCAGTTAATCGACTGTCGATACAGCAATACAAGAAATTATTACGAACACTCGTCCGTATATTGCCGTCGTTCGAGGGGGATTAATATTGACCCCGGCGTTTGCTAATGGCAGAACCGGCTAACTAACGACACCGGCGTTAATTGTTTTTACACGTTCACAGAATTAGTGGGTGGGACTGGGGCACTGTCCGCAGCCGGGCAGTTTGCGGTAGGTTTATGATCGGCTACGGTGGAATTTAACGTATGGTGTCTGTCACCATCTGGAAACCTGTTCTGCATACGCCATTGAAACCGAGAAATCTCTCTGCCCGGTTCTGCCGTAAAAACCGATGATTAATAGGGATCAGTAAATTAGATTAGTGATCACGTTATAGCGACGCTTTTTCATGTCGTCGATGATAGATAATCCTAGGGGACAGAATTACCTGTCGCTACTCTGTGCACTTGCTAAGCGAATGCTACGAACGTGCCTTTTCTCGGGGAATTCGATTTTTCTTGCTTCGGAATGTTCAACGTAACTTCTTTTTAATTTCACGTACGGAGGATATCTTACAGAGGATAGAATTGTTCGTTGTTAAATTATTTTCAAAACAAATACGTCTATTTTCAATTTTTCAAGCTTAAAAATCTTAAACAAATCTTAGATAAATCTTTTTGTTATTTGAGCAGTTTACAAATAAATCAAACTCTACCTAACAATTATTACGTTGCTTTATGATAATAATGGGTTCGCATTTGTTCAAACGAAATGCAATTTTTATTACCATATGAATTCCAATAAGCGAGTTCATTCAAACGTTTGTTAATAAATAGGCAAATAATAACTTCATAATAATAACTGAATTGCATTTGTTCAAACGAAATGCAATTTTTATTACCATATGAATTTCAATAAGCGAGTTCATTCAAACGTTTGTTAATGAATAGGCAAATAATAACTTTATAATAATAACTGGATCGCATTTGTTCAAACGAAATGCAATTTTTATTACCATATGAATTCCAATAAGCGGGTTCATTCAAACGTTCGTTAATAAATGGGCAAACAAGCCTAATTCTAATCTAAAATAACGAGCCACGCTTAGGTGACCGAACGTTTTGTTGTTCCAACCTTTTTTAAGACAGGAACGTGTCCTCTTTTATTGATGGAGAACTAATGCGTCCGTATCTTAAGAACGTCCAGAATAAAAATAACATTTCTCAGTACTCTTAAACCAGTTCTGTTATTTGTTACACAGTTTTCTTTAGTATATCCTGACATCCTTAGTCTATTACATATAATTAACCTTATAGCGGTGTTTCAAACGAAATCATTCAAATTCGAAGTACATATTACCATGTGGACACGCTAGGTTTTCATGAGCAAGAACGATGTAGAGCGCAATGCGCTTCACATTATTACCTTTTAAAATTTCCACGACGAGAAACGTCGCCATCCCCATTGAAGTTGTCTTCCTTATATGGCGAACTATTTCGTCATATCCAGTTAACAGGTTAACAGCTATTATATTATTTTTATTACTTTTATTATTTATTTATTTATATATTTATTTTATATATTTTATATATTAATAATAATTATATATATATATATATATATATATATATATATATATATAATACTATATATATAATATATTTATATATATATATATATATATTATATTATATTATATTATATAATATATATTATTATTATATTATATTATATATATATATAAATATATAATATTATATTTTATATTAATATTTTATTTATTTATTATTATTATATTATTTATCATATTAATTCTTCAATTGGTATTATGCATTCGTGACACTCGAATGCGTAATGGTTTGTATAATAGACTGTATGTATGATACTTGATGACGCAATTGCTCATTTTCAGGATGTCATCAATAGGGAAGGGAAGGGATTAAGCATGCGAGCGACGGCGATACGTGCGGCAAATCAAACCAGAAACAACAAGCTCGAGGAGATCGCGACGCCGCGACAGTGCCCGTTGAAAGTCAATTTTCTGAAAGAGGGGGCGCGGCCCAAGGCGACTACGGGTACGGAAAAAACGCCGAAGAATCCGGATCACCTTCCACCGTCAAGTGCACGGCGTTCCGGAGCATCAGGGTCAAGGAACTCGGGCCGAATGACTGGTAAGATTAGAAGCGCGAGAAGTATCGCGCGCGATCTCTTAATACGCGTCGAAGCTCGCTCTTACCCGCGCCTACTCGTTTAGGGTAAGCGACACGCTCTCCTCTCTCTCTCTCTCTCTCTCTCTCTCTCTCTCTCGTGCTCGTTTCCCGCTGCTCCGTCCGCGAGAGTTCAGTTCTACGTGTATAGCACTCTATGCGTGGGCGCCGGTGACAAACGACCCGCGGAAAGACGATGGGACGCGTCGCGTTTTGCCGAGAATCGCGCGCCTCCTTTCTTCATTATCCGACCGGCTCGGCTCCGGTCCGCGAGCCATTTTAATTTCGACGATGAAACCGGAATCGAATCGGCCAATAAAACCGTACGGCTTCGCGCGTCTCGCGTTCCATCGCCGACATCCTGGATCCTGGATCCTGGATCTCCGAGTCCGCAGGCGGCCGCTGGAAAGACCAGTCTGCTCGCTTGGGATGAGTGCGCATCGTTCCGACGAGGCTCTCGCAATCGTTTAGATTAGATCGGGCCTCGTTATTCGGCGGTCCAATTAATTTCACGACGACACGAATTTCGGCGCTGATACCTCGACGATCTTCGGGCGTTCCTTAATTCGAGGTCGGTATCAACCGATTTCTTCTGTTGAATTTTTTGTTTTCTTTTTTAGCGATCCGGACGTTTTCTGTGATCTTCGATTTCGTTGTGTTGTTCGAGGAATTCGCCTTTCTTTGACCAATTGTTTATTTCATTTATCTCGCGATCGACGTATCCGAGATAATAACAACACTGCGGAGTTTGATGAAAAATGATAATTGTCTGCACTAATTGCAAGATACGGGAGCTACGCAGACGTTGATTTCGTTCTTCGATCATTTTAACGATTCGGAAACAATGCAACCGCATTTTTAAATCCTTCGAATGTTTCTAATTCTTTCAATCTTTAATCTCTGTCGCAGTCGCATTAAATATGCAGTTTAATAGCAACCTGTTCTGCTTCTTTCTGTTCCGAAAAATTTACTATTTCCATTTACCTCTGTTTGAAAAAGTCGCGACCGTTCGAAGTTCTGGCGGCTGCGCATTTTTGTTCCACGAACTGCAAATTGAGTTCGTAAATTGATCGAAATAAAAAATTCCGTAATTTCTGCGTAATCATAGTTCGAACACGAAGCAACACCGTGGGGGCTTATTAAAAGCCGGATCCAACGGTCTCTAAGCCAATTTTCCCAGAAAGCGGAATATCTGATAAAGGTTTAGGTTGATTCGAGCCGCGGGTTCACCGGTAATCCCGAAGGTTGATCGTCCGCGAGAAACGGCGAGGATGTTTGAGGCTAATCTGACGTCTTATTGGACACGCGATCCCAGCGTGTGCGGTACTTTAATGCCGCAATATATTCCGGATAATAGGAATCGGTATGGTGTTCAAGGTCAAGGGTTCCGCGGCATTTCCCACGACCATGGCTCGCGACAAACCGTGGCCGAGGGACCATTCGATTCTCTCTCTCCCTGCCCCCCCTCCTCTCTCTGCCCCCTTTCAGCCGATATCTCGCATGGAAATTCTTCCTGCTTCGATATGCCGAATGCGAATAAGTGAGACGTGATATTGGCCGGCGGATGCGATAGTCGCGTGTGTAAGATGTCCGCGGCACGCAATAATTTCCGAGATTTTTCCCTCGATTGGAGACCGTTTCCTATCGGGTCAACGACTCCGCGACCGGCGGACAGAAAATCGCCGTTTACACGGTGATTCGCGACGAACCGTTCGGCGAATAATTTCGTATACGATGCTGCCGCGGTGTTCACCGAGCCTGCGAATGGGAACGGGCAAGTACTATTCCCTCCTGGCCGGCGATAATGCTGCCGGGTTTTAACGCCGTAGCCATCAGCGTTCGACGTACGCAACAACGGACCGCAAGCTCTTGTACACAAAGTCTGTTCGATTTAAGCTCGTCGTTGAGATAATTTACGTCACTAGCGAAGAGATTTTTGACGATGTTGCTGCGCTACCTTCCTCGGAATGTATCAGTGTTTTATCGCGTAACCCGTCAAGCGAGTGCCACGTGATTACTTTGTCAACACTGAAGACTCGGAAAATGACATGGGGACTCTTTGACGAGAAATCATTGAATACTCAAATTAATTATACTTAATTAAATTACTTAATCATTGAATTCTTAGTTCAAATATACATCGTAAGGGGTATAAAGGTATAAATAAATTCAGTCTTACCTTATAAAATCGC